AGCTTGAGAAAGAAAAGTGTTGATAGTCTGTTCCGTTCTGTGTGACAACGTACAGGATTAGCTTGAGAAAGAAAAGTGTTGATAGTCTGTTCCGTTCTGTGTGACGACGTTGTTCAGGTAGAACATGGTATTTGTGGCATTGAATTTTCTTATATGACAAAATTTTGTTTAATATCACATTTTATTAGTTTGCTGTGTAAACGTAGCTCATTTTCAAATTTTATAAATTATGAATATATAAAAATAAATAAATATCGAGTGACTAAAGATACTATTTTCTTCCAAAGATTAGTTACACCAACGCCGTTTCGTATTTCTACCCGCGGTGTGCTGTCTTTCAAGCTGTTTTCTCACTGTTTTAGTTAAATATTCACATTCGTAAGAACTTCATAATGCCTCTTCTCAGATTCAACTAACAAGGTTTACTATTACCCAATGCACGTGTGGGTGAACGATTTGTTCATAGACACAAAGAACTTTTCCTTCCACGCAACAGGATAACGCAAGTTTTCACACGATAGGGTGGTATACGTGGTTTGAGAATATAGGATAAAACACAAGAGGATAAGAAGTTTTCAGACGACAGGGTAAGACATGGTTTCATAGCATCGGCGTTGAAAATGTGAATTTCCGTCGAATGTGAACATTTAGCTATTGATTTGGTTATAATAAACATTTTGTTTCAACTAGTTGTGTAAAGTATATAATGGAGAAAAAAAAATGTTTTAAACATCATTATCTTTTCGGATACTGGTCACTGTAATTATATACCTTGCTAAAAACAAGAGGGGTTTGTGGAGGAACTACCATTAAAACAGAGTGGTAATTACGTGATATTTACGAGGGTAGAAGAGGCTGATAATTTTGTTCAATGAGATTTTAAACATTATAGATACAGGTAAAATATTAGTTATCAAATAGTTATCTTTATACCAAACTTTAAGACTCCTTCAAGATAGCTGTAATATAAACTTACCAATCACATGGTATCTTCGACTCAGTTGGAAACTACTCTTTGGGACGTAATTCTTTAACATAAACAAACAAGATTGAACGGTCTCTGTACAGTATGCATCACCATCTTGTACGTGCTATTACACTGAGTGAGGCACTGAATACCAAATGAATTGTTTTAGAAAGTTCTGGTAAGATACTCGGAACCAAAGGAGCTACTTTAGGGAATTATGGTAAGATCCTAAGAACCAAGGGAGCTGGTTTAGAAATCTTTGGTAAGGTACTAAGAACTAAGGGAGCTGGTTTAGAAATCTCTGGTAAGGTACTAGGAACCAAGTAAGCTGGTTTAGAAATCTCTGGTAAGGTACTGAGAACAAAGTAAGCTGGTTTAGAAATCTCTGGTAAGGTACTGATAATCAAGGGAGCTGGTCTAAAGATAATGGACCTAATGGATTGAAACAGGACACAAGAAACGAATTACGTGAATGGACTCAGTAATATGTAAGTTGTTGTATAAATACCTCTGGTAAGTAGTGTGTAAGTTGTTGTACAAATACCTCTGGTAAGTAGTGTGTAAGTTGTTGTACAAATACCTCTGGTAAGTAGTATGGAAGTTGTTGTATAAATACCTCTGGTAAGTAGCATGTAAGTTGGTGTATAAATACCTCTGGTAAGTAGTGTGTAAGTTGTTGTATAAATACCTCTGGTAAGTAGTGTGTAAGTTGTTGTATAAATACCTCTGGTAAGTAGTGTGTAAGTTGTTGTATAAATACCTCTGGTAAGTAGTATGGAAGTTGTTGTATAAATACCTCTGGTAAGTAATATGTAACTTGTTGTATAAATACCTCTGGTAAGTAATATGTAACTTGTTGTATAAATACCTCTGGTAAGTAGTATGTAACTTGTTGTATAAATACCTCTGGTAAGTAGTATGTAAGTTGTTGTATAAATATTTCTGGTAAGTAGTATGTAAGTTGTTGTATAAATACCTCTGGTAAGTAGTATGGAAGTTGTTAAGTAAATATCTCTGGAACAACAAGCACATTAAGTGCTTAACGGTATATCAATAATTATTTAAGAATAATTAGTTTTTGAAAGCGGTTTTAAGGTTTCGCTTGACACACCCTAGTTTTTTACATTTGATGAAACCGGGCTTAACAATTCAAACACTGTTTCACATTTGTAAGTTTTTATCCTAGTAGAGGGTGTATAATTTAAATCTTCTGGTATTCGATTTCAATATTAGTATTTTCGACACTTCGGAAGTACTCGGTTTCAATTCATGCGCTTTGACAGTTCTGGAACACACGAGTGTATTATGCTTCTTATTAAGAGCTTTTATTTACTTGGCAATTTTCACCATTAAGTCGTCGTTTGCTGATGTCTTTTAGGTCTGAATATATCAGCACAGGATATCGAATTCTTCGTTTTTCACTGCCGTGTAATTAAGTACTAGTGACGTAATGTAAAAGGGTGCACCGACAAAGCTGAGTCTAGACATCGATGTGATCAAGGAAACTATTGATCAAATGAAAGTTTATCCTTGGTTTCACCTGTGTAGCATATATATATGTGTATATAATCCCTATAATAGAAGTCGAAGTTAGCCATCGAGAAACTCATCACTACAGCAACTCCGCATTCTGGAATACTTAAAGTTTAATAGCTTGAAAAGTATAATTTATTCAGCTTACTAACTTTGCTCATTTCTACTGAAAACTTGTAGGTATTACTTAATTCATGTATACATTAATTTTACTGAACTATTATTTTAAACAATAGTTTAAGTTCTCTCAAAGGCTTTAAAGTGAACACATTTACAGAAGACAGGTCACAGTTTCTACAGCTGTACGAAACTAAGTACATTTACAGAAGACAGGTCACAGTTTCTACAGCTGTACGAAACTAAGTACACTTACAGAAGACAGGCCACAGTTTCTACAGCTGTACGAAAGTAAATACACTTACAGAAGAGAGGCCACAGCTTATACAGCTGTACGAAAGTAAACACATTTAGAGAAGACAGGCCACATCTTCTACAGCTGTACGAAAGTAAACACATTTAGAGAAGACAGGCCACATCTTCTACAGCTGTACGGTCTTCTGTAAATGTGTTTACTTTGTATAATCTGTGGCCTCTCTTCTGTAAGTGTATTTACTTTCGTACAGCTGTAGAAGCCGTGGCCTGTCTTCTGTAAGTATACTTACTTTCGTACAGCAGTATAATCTGTGGCCTCTCTTCTGTAAGTATACTTACTTTCGTACAGCTGTATAATCTGTGGCCTCTCTTCTGTAAGTATACTTACTTTCGTACACCTCTTCTGTAAGTATACTTACTTTCGTACAGCTGTATAATCTGTGGCCTCAGGCCACAGCTTCTACAGTTGTATGAAATTAAATACACTTACAGAGACAGACCACAGCTTCTACAGCTGCGCGGTAGTAAACACACTTACAGAAGACAGGCCTTCTACAGCTATATGGAAGTAAATACACTTACAGAAGACAGGCTGCAGCTTCTACAGCTGTACAAAATTAAGTATTTTTTTTTATCTTTGTGTCACACAAGAAATGCTTCAGTGGAAACTTCGTGACACATTTCCCCTCATTCATTATTGTGGTTCCCCCAACAGTGGAATAGTTGGCTGTCGGGTAATTTCCTTGTACGTGACACCGGAAGTTTCCTAAATATAACATCGAGCTATTTTCATTTCCTAAACGTAAATCCGCAGTCAGAATATGATTTACCGGTGAACGATTTATATAAGCTTCGGTGAATAAGGACATTTATTCCACACACCCGATAAATATACGTGAAATTAACAATGTCGTGTTCCCAAGTCGTGTGATTATTAAAGCTGACGTCATTCTAGATTTATTAAAGTTCTCTTAGGACTGTTCTAAGCTACAGTTAAACCAACTTTAGTGTTAAGGAGTAGTGTTTTAACCCGTTACAAGGGATGGCGAAAACACAAGTTATTTAAATGAACAGGCAACATAAAAGATTCTTTTGAGAGTAACGTTATCCTGGTAACACAATCCTTACACCTTACTCAGAAGTTGTACTCGTATTAGCGTTACCCTGGTAATACAATCCTTACACTTTACTCGGATTAGTGTTACCCAAGTAAAACAATCTTTACACCTTACTCGGATTAGCGTTACCCAGGTAACACAATCCTTACACCTTACTCGGATTAGTGTTACCAAAGTAAAACAATCTTTACACCATACTTGGAGTAGCGTTACCCTGGTAACACGATCCTTAACCTTACAGAGAAATCGCACTCGGATTAGCGTTATCCGGGTAACATAATCTTTACACCTTACTCGGATGAGCTCTACCCAGGTAACGCAACCTTACACCTTACTCAAAGTAGCTTTTCTTGTGTCACACAATCCCTACACCTTATTCAGAAGCCGTACTGGGGTTAGTGTTTCACGGGTAACAGACTCCACACCTTATTTAGAAGCCGTACTGGGGTTAGTGTTTCACGGGTAACAGACTCCACACCTTATTCAGAAGCCGTACTGTGGTTAGTGTTTCACGGGTAACAGACTCCACACCTTATTCGGAAGCCGTACTGGGATTAGTGTTTTACGGGTAACAGACTCCACACCTTATTCAGAAGCCGTACTGGGGTTAGTGTTTCACGGGTAACAGACTCCACACCTTATTCGGAAGCCGTACTGGGGTTAGTGTTTCAAGGGTAACAGACTCCACACCTTATTCAGAAGCCGTACTGGGGTTAGTGTTTCACGGGTAACAGACTCCACACCTTATTCAGAAGCCGTACTGGAGTTAGTGTTTCACGGGTAACAGACTCCACACCTTATTCGGAAGTCGCAAGATTGTGGTGGTTAATTGTACAGCTTAATTCCATATTCCTAGCAGGTTATGAAGCGACGTCTTTCAACTGAATGTTTGACATGCCATTTGTTCCCCTAGTGGTGTAGTTGAGAAAGAGCTTGACTGTGGTGTATGCATGCTGTACTAAAGACCAAATTATTCCTATATATCTTGTAACCAAAGGGAAGAGGGGATATGATGCGAGGTATTATATCTGTTAATATACGTTGATCAGAATGTTGAGAATAAACAGCGTATTATTTATTTAGTCTATTACCAGGAGGGAAGATATTGTAAAGTGGTACTTTGTTAGTCTTGATATATGTTACATACTAGTATATACTTCGTGCAATTATGCTCGGCTATTTCCTGTGCTTTATTTTCTATCACAAGTTTCCTGTCCAAGAGATCCCTAATGTTCGTGCACTTAGAAACAACTGACCCCTGTACCTTACTTTATTTTTTTCTCACAGATCCCCCGAAGATCGAAAGGGCACCTCATAACCAGACGGTGGTCAGTGGCAGCGTAGCCAGCTTCACCTGCACAGTCTTGGGCAACCCTAAACCCGTAATAGAATGGCGGAAGAATGGCCGAAGAGTGGTCACTACAAGATACGCTGTCCAGGACATGCCGAACGGCTCGGTGCTCCGCATCGAGCCTGTCCGAAAAGATCTCGATGTTGCTACGTACGAATGTGTGGCGGAGAATGGAGTGGAGCGGCCAGTGTTTGCTAAAGCCAAACTTAATGTCTTGTCAAGTAAGCTCCTGTATTTGTACTGAAGACGAATGAAATCGGTTAGAGTTGATTGTTAAAGCAAATAATGGGAAAAGTACTCAACAGGTCACATTATTCATTAACATTTTAAAATTATAATCTTAGTCGTTTTATAACATAACCTCATTTTATGAAATTACATTCATCTAAAAGAATGGTTAACCTAAAATAATTTGAGCCAAAGAAAGGTGTTTGTTTATTTTGAAACACGAAGCTACACAAAGGGCTATCTGTGCTCTGCCCAACACGGATATCAAAACCCGATTTTTAGAATTATAAGCCCTCAGATTTACCGCTGAGCCACCGGGGGACCTTTAGAGAAGAATTACAGGAGTCCGATTATGGCAGATAGTCTTCCATCCTTAAATTCTTATGATTTGTCTCTAAAGCTTCCCGTCCCACCAAACATGCTCGCCCTTTCAACCGTAGGGGCGTTATAAAGTGCGGTCAATCCCACTATTCGTTGGTAAAAGAGTAGTCCAAGAGTTGGCGTTGGGTGGTGATGAATAGCTGCCTTTCCTCTAATCTTACACTGCTAAATTAAGGATGGCTAGCGCAGATAGCCCTCGAGTAGCTTTGCGCGAAATTCTAAACAAACAAGCAAACTGACAGCTTAAAAAGTTAAAAATCGAGTTTCGATAACCGCAGTACAAAAAACAAACAACTTCTCTATAGCTTAAAAATTTTAGATTTCTTTACTTAACCTCTTAATACGTTTCACTTTCAGGAATGTTATTTTTGTTATAATTTGTATTTTAATCTTAGTCTTCGTGTTGTTGCTGTTTTAAGAATTAAAGATTGACGTGTAAGAGAAATTAGGACTGAGTCTCTGCAGTATAGCAGGTCCTCTACCGGTGAATATAGACACCATTTCCCTACTAAGGATAAATAACAACTTAACGTGTATAACTGTTGATGAGAGAGTTACACTTAGAAGTTAATGCAAGCGTACCCACTTTCTCCTACCAGGTTTCTAAATTATGTATGTATGTGTGTGTGCGCGTGCGTGCGTGCGTGTGCGTGCGTATTGGTTCGCCAAGTACTCTTGTGTGCTATACATCTTAATTAAGTTCGGGAGCAGTACGCTCGAGTCTTTCAAAGCAGTATCATGCCTGGAATAAAGGATTAACGTGTCTCTGCATCATGATGTAGTAAACTTTATTGCCAGCTGTGGAAATTAAATCCAGTCTGGTGATATAAATCATTCTGAGATGAATGTTAAAGCTGTTGTGATTAAGCCGTCAGGTATACCTGTGGGAAGCACGGATAGGAGGAATGACGAGGCCTCGTTGCTATGGCAACGGTAGGTCGATCTAAGCAATGCACTCATGGGTGTTAGGCTTCACACTGAACTCTTTTGATACGGTCTTAACTTAAATATTCATATACTAATTTTAAAACCCTAGCTTTATGCCTTATCCATGATACTCCCACTAAAACCCCAGCTTTATACCGTATTCATGGTACTCCCACTAAACAACCATCTCTATACCGTATCCATGGTTCTCACACTAAACAACCAGCTCTATACCGTATCCATGGTACACACACTAAACAACCAGCTCTTTACCGTATCCATGGTACTCCCACTGAACAACCAGCTCTATACCGTATCCATGGTACTCACACTAAACAACCAGCTCTATACCGTATCCATGGTACTCCCACTGAACAACCAGCTCTATACCGTATCCATGGTACTCCCACTAAACAAACAACTCTATACCCTATCCATGGTACTCCCACTAAAGCAACCAGCTTAATACAGTATCCATTGTACTCCCACTAAAGAAACCAGCTTAATACAATATCCATGGTACTCACACTAAAGAAACCAGCTTAATACAGTATCAATGGTACTCCCACTAAATCAACAAGCTTAATACCGTATCCATGGTACTCCCACTAAAGCAACAAGCTTAATGCCGTATCCACGGTACTCCCACTAAAGCACCAAGCTCAATGCCGTATCCATGGTTCTCTGACTAAAGCAACAAGTTTAATGCCGTATCCATGGTTCTCTGACTAAAGCAACACGTTTAATACCGTGTCCATGATTCTCACCAGGAATGACGTTTTCACCACTGTCTGTCACACTTATAAAACACCCAAACACTGATATGACACTTCCATAAGTGCTCGATCTTCAGTTATTTCATTGACGTGAACTTCTTGTAGTGTTTGAATTTCAGTTGCTCTGTTCACGCGACACTTCTTTAAAGATTTGATCTTCGTTTCTTTCCTTAATGTCACACTTCCTTAAAGATTTGATAACACAGCCAATCACGTAAATGTATTCTTCACAGTGATCGATATTCTCCCCTCCAACTCACCAGACCTCATAAAATAATCAAACATTTGAGGATGTTTCTCACCAGAAATGATGTTCTCACCATTGATCTCCATATTTTGTAAAACAAGAAAGAATTTAAAAAACATGAAAATGTTTGTCAAAATCTTCTCACTGATTTTATTATGAGTAAATCCAAGGAGCGGATAGAAAACTTTGAACTAGATGTTCCAAACCACACTGTGTTAAATGTCCTTGTCGTCTATCGTGCAACCTCATGTATTTCACGCGATTTTGATATGTACCAAGCACTCATGTAGCATGTGTTGTGGTCATACCAGACTTGCGCTACATGTTAAGATGATCTTTAAGTCTTAATCACGTTTTCGTCATGAAATATGGACAAACACATAATAATCCTCAGGCAGTGTAACATGAACAAAATAAGCATAGATAAAGTCTTGAGGAAGTATAACGTGAATAAAACAAACGTAGATCAGGTCTTTAGGAAGTGCAACATTAAAAAACCCAGATAAAGTCTTCGGAAACTGTAACGTGAAAAAACACTCCTGGATCAAGTCATGTGGAAGTATAACGTGAACAAAAAACATAGATGAAGTCTTCATGAAGTGAAACATGAACAAACGAAAATTAAACTCTTTAGAGAGTGAAAGATGAATTGAACAAATGCCATCAAGTCTTCAGAAAGTGTCGCATGAACAAACCAAACTCTTCATGAAATATCACGTGAACGAAGATAAAGCTTTTCAATGAGATCGAACAAAGATAAAATATTTAAGGAAGTGTCACGTGAACAGAGCAGCTGAAGGTCAAATTCTACAGGAAGTTTCATGTCAATAAAATAACTGAAGATTGAAATGTCATCTAAGTGGAAGGACTAACGATTCTGGAAGTGTTGCGTGAACAGAGCAGCTGAAGGTCAAATTCTACAGGAAGTTTCATGTCAATAAAATAACTGAAGATTGAAATGTCATCTAAGTAGAAGGACTAACGATTCTGGAAGTGTTGCGACAGTTTCAGAAGAAAGAGGTACATTTGAACACAGGCCAGCCATCTTGTAAAAAATAAACAGCAAATGCCCAGTCGTTTAAACTGTTCGTTTATCTGATGTAAAGGTATGAAACTGTCGAGTCTAAAACATGAATTATTCAAGATCTCAGCCAATAACTGTAACAGCTATAGAAATAGCGTAGCTTTACGACTGAACTCTCCAAGTCCCTAAAGTAATCTGTCACGAAGTACATTAGATGGACGTGAAACTACAAACAAACGGGATGAACATTTTTATCTATATTGCTGGATGTTAAATACAGTATACAAAGATTATTCTGTACTTGTATTTTTTGTTTTCAACTTTTCATAGTTCACCAAGCATTAAAAACGTGTTCTCATCAAACATACTAAAAGTCAACCTCCACTGCTTCTTTCACACTAACTACGACATTAATCTTCAGTTTTATATTAGTCAAAAAGATACACACGCACCAACTTATTATGAAAGTCTTAGATTTTCTTCACATGACATCTGTATGGAATTTCTTTCAAAGTGTTAAGATAGAGTTGATGATTTTAAAGAAATAATTATCGGAAATGATTATTCAAAGAATCATTTTTAAACCAACAAGAAATAACTTCTCTAAGCGTAAACGATTCACTGATTAATTATGTTGGTGGGACACTTCTTTTAAAATGAAACGTTTTGTTTGATTTACGCAACACTTCCAGAATCGTTAGTCCTTCCACTCAGATGACATTTCAATCTTCAGTTATTTTATTGACATGAAACTTCCTGTAGAATTTGACCTTCAGCTGCTCTGTTCACGTTACACTTCCAGAATCGTTAGTCCTTCCACTCAGATGACATTTCAATCTTCAGTTATTTTATTGACATGAAACTTCCTGTAGAATTTGACCTTCAGCTGCTCTGTTTACGTGACACTTCCTTAAAGATTTTATTTTTGTTTAATCTCATTGAAAAGTTTTATCTTCGTTCATGTGATATTTCCTGAAAGAGTTCATTTTCTTCTGTCCATTCATGTCTCATTTCCTGATGAGTTTGGTTTGTTCTTGTGACTCTTTCTGAAGACTTGATGGCATTTGTTTTATTCACGTTATATTTCCTGAAGACTTGATCTACGTTTGTTTTATTCACGTTATACTTCCTCAAGACTTTATCTATGCTTATTTTGTTCATGTTACACTGCCTGAGGATTATTATGTGTTTGTCCATATTTCATAACGAAAACGTGATTAAGATCCAGAAGATTATCTTAACATGTAGCGCAAGTCTGGTATGACCACAACACATGCTACATGAGTGCTTGGTGTACGTATCAAAATCGCGTGAAATACATGAGGTTGCACTGCAGACAACAAGGTCATGGACGCAGTGTGGTTTGTAATCGGTACTGTAGCTATAACGTTTAACTTTCAGTACTGCAACTGTAACATTTTACGTTCGGTATTGTACCTTTAACATTTCGCGTTCCACACTGCAACTTTAACGTTTCACGTTTGGTATATTGTCTGTAACGTTTCACGTTCGGGACTGCAGCTTTAACGTTTCACGTTTGGTACTACAACTTTGGTACTGCGGCTTTAACGTTCCGCGTTTGGTACTGTGGCTTTAACATTTCGCGTTTGGTACTATAGCTTTAACGTTTAACATTTAATACTGTAGCTTTAATGTTTCATGTTCGGTACTCATGATTTATTACAGTAGAGATCTCGTTTGATTACAGTTTGAAACTTTATTCATTCGGAATAACCATAGACTCGTGAAAACCATGGTAATTTGTGTATAAGTTAGATTGATGAGGAGTTTTCTGGTAAACATTCAGTTTATCCGGCTGATAATTTGTTACGTAATGTTGATGGTAACGATGCACTAATGTGAGCCAAGCTAATTTAAGTCTTTAGACAATCAGTTTCGTGTATTTTCCACTTGTACACGCACTGTTTGGTGTAATCATACAAACTGGTTCTACAATGTCGGAATAAATGGTAGCGAAAACCAAAAGAAAGCTTTCCTTCTCATTATTTTCTCGTAAATTTAAAGTGATCTTGGAAAGTTTCTTCAACATCTGTTAGATGCATCATCGTTTGAAATGTTTTGAAGTAAATGACGTACGGTTTATGATTTACACAAACTTTTCATTTTCGGTAACACAGTTGCTTATAACGAGAATACGTTAGTAACACAGGTGCTCATAACAAAAATACGGTATTGACACAGCTCCACATAACGATGATACGGTAGTAACATATGTCAACATAACTTATAATACGGTAGTAACACTACTGCACATATCGATAATACAGTATTAGTGTATGTACTAAGCACGGGAGTGCTTATTATGTAGGGGTGGGCCGAGAATAAAAATGGCTGCCGCAATCAATTTATTTCTCTATGATGCTTACATGTAACTGGTAAAGTTCATTTATAGCCTTATTTGAGCACCTAATTGCCATTGTCGAGTGTTGCTAAAGTGGAGAACTGGGAACTAGCTAAAGAACCTAGATGTTCATCCTTTTTTTTTTTCATTCTCCCATGCTAGCCAAAATTGAGTGAAGGTTTTGCAATGGCTATAGTACAACAGAAAAACATTTTAAAAGTATATAGGCACAGGCTGTAGGGATTAGCCGAGAAAATAGTGGCGGCCGCATTCAATCTGTTACTCGATGATGCTTACAAATAACTGCTATAGATTAGTTATAGCCTCATCTGAGCACCTAATTGCCATTATGAAGTGTTTCACAGTTTGTATAAAAGTAATATTATTCTGTTCTTCTATACTACGCATATTCTTGTAATGAAATAATATAAAGGAAAAACTACTACTTAGCAGTGAGTTCAGTTTATAAGCATATATTATTACCATGTTTCATAAATAAGTTTCATTTCTGGTTCCTAGATGGCAGTACAAATTTTACTTATATAACTACTGTTTGTGACTTTTCATTGCACAAACATCATATCTGACAAACTATTTTAGTAAAAATAAAGAATAATCTAAATTAATATTCAAGGTATCGTGGTATGCAATTCACGGATTTGTGTACATGTTATTGATGTCTGAGTTTAAAAGCACCAGTTTCTTAATTATCAAAACAGTATATTATATAAGCAGTCTACTTTTATTCAAAATTTCAGTGTGGCTGAGCCTGGAAGCTGTGTGTGTATGCAGTGTACTTCATGGTGTGGGATCTGTATGATGTCCTCCCCTTTAATCGACATGACCCTAGCATCTGGTAGAGTCAATTATATGCACATGCAGTGAGTTGGGGTGAAGTTGGAAGAGGTAGTTTCTGTGAATATTCCTTTCATGTCGGTACAGCACTACAGTGTACTTGTACCATCCTGAAGGAACCATTCCAGTTTCACTGGCTCCAAATGCAATCCAAAATTAGAGTGAAAACTTATGATATTAACAATATATATATATTACCATTGAATTATACAAAAAATTAACAAATGTTCATTTATCAACTTACTTCAGTGAAATTATATAAAAAAGAGGGGGACAAGTAATAAAAATAATGCAAAAAGGAAGTACGATGTAGGAATGGCATTGACAAAAAGTGCAGAAACAAAGGAGGGATG